CATCGGGTCGGACCCGGGTGCTGGTGGGACCATGGCAGGCCTCCGCCTCTCTGCCTCCCAGCGCCGAGCACAGGGGCTGGCGGGGGTCAGGTCTGGCTGGCCCCAGCCCCCCTGAAAGAACAGTGGGGGGACACATTCTCTCTGGAATTCGACACCACGATCACTTTACTCGCTCCACTGAAACTGTCCTTGCCTGCTCCTTGGTCGTCTCCCTCTGTGCTTCTAAGGTCCGTGGTCCCGGGTTTTCAAAGAGAGCGCGCTCAGCCCCCTCGGGCCAAGTGCACGGACGCTGGAGCGTTACTAATCCTCTGAGAAGCCGGGACTCCGGGCGATCGGTAGACTCTGAAAGCCTCTGATAACGGGGCTTCTGTCTCAGATCACTGATAAGGCTTTTAATTTGCACTTGGAGCGGTTCCCCGGGTAATGAGGGCCGCCGTTGTTCCAGCACCCGGTCAGCCGGAGAACCGGTCAGCCGGAGAACTGAAAACCGCAGCGTCTCCTGACGCCACACGCGGAGCAGCGGCTTCTGCGTCCCGGTCAGCCAGGCTGCGCTCCCCTGCGTCGCACCGCGTCTGAGCGCCAGTGTGACGTCATTGATTCACTGCCTTTCTCTTAAGTACCTTCGTTATTGTGCTTGAATCTGTTTTGCTGCCGTACCTGGAAAACTGGTATCACTGGCCCTTCGCTGGGACAAAGTGAACACAATGTAAGCAAGGTATGAGATCCCACCGGGGTACCACTGCTTGCCCGAGGTGCTGAGCCCGGCCCGTCTCCTCTCTCCCGGCGTAGCCATTCTGATGCCTGTGTGCCCGGGTGGGGCTCGGCCCGCCTCTGCAGACCACGTCCTTGGGAGAGTGCCTTCCCCTCGTTCTGTCAGGAGCGTAGGGTTTGGTTGACCGGACCTGCGTGAAGACTCCCCCCCAAGGATGTGCTGGGAGCCCCACGCAGGAGGTGGTGGACGCTGTCCCCGCCCCCACAAAACTGGTGACCTGCTGCGGGCCCAGTGCACTGACGCGGAGAGGGAGCGTGATAAAGGCACAGGAGCGGGCCCCGGCCGGCCGGCTCAGTCGGAGCGTCAGGGCTGCACCGGAAGGTTGCGGGTTCGATCCCCCCTTCAGGGCACGTACCTCGGCTGTGGGTCTGATGTTGTGGCCCGTGCAGGAGGCAACCCACAGATGTGTCTCTCTCAAATCAAAAAACATGTCTTCGGGTGAAAACTTTTTAAAAAGTGCAGAAGCAAGAATCCCACGTATTTGTTTATATTTCATCTCCAACTCCTTCCACTTTGGCCGCGATCCGCTTGTCATACCTATGGGCCTGTTTCTGTTTCATTTGTGCGTTTCTTTAGATCCCACGTGTCAGTGAGACTGTGTGTATCTGTCTTTCTCTGTCCGACTGACGTCACCTGGCAGAACATGCTCTAGGTCCATCCGTGTTATTGCAAACAGCAAGACTGTTTCTTCATGGCCGAGTAATATTCCGCCGTGTGCATGCACCAGCTGTCTCTGTCCACTCGTCCACTGACGGACACCTCGGTCACTTCCATGTCTGGCTGTCACTGCTAGTGCTGCAGGGACCGGGAGCGGGGGGGGGGGCGGGCAGTGGTGCATGTGCCTTTCTGAATTAGTGTTTCTGCTTTCTTCGGATCAATACCCAGAGGTGAAATTGTTGGATTGATGCAGACACTGGCCTGCAGTGTCCATGACATTATGGATGAAATGAGACGTTCATACGGACTACTGAGTCCGGTGGAGGACAAGGGACGGCATGGCTTTTTCTCTCAAGGGGAGCAAAGGCCTGGCCCTTGCCATGACCTGCCGTTATTGGGTTTCTCCGCCCATTACATGGTGGTCCTCATTTACTCTGCACAGGCTCGCTTTAGGTGGTTACCTTTTACAGAGAACAAAGGAGCCAGTGCTGCTAATCACATCACGGAAGAGGGATATTTGCAAATGAAAAGGCAAAAGTGGTTGAACCGGTTACACTCATCCTTGGAGGGTTTAGCATGGGTTTTAGGAAGTTACTTTGCAGTAAATGTCCTCAATTCAGGGTGAGGGAGTTTTTTAGCAAGAACAAGACTCAAAACAACCTAGGCACATTGCAGGCCGGATTCCCCTCGGGAGAACCTATCCGTGGGTCCTGTGGGTCCTGTGCATCTCCGAGTGGGAGCTGGGCCCTTGCCACGCAGAACGGTTTCCTACATTGGATCGAATATGCTATTTTAAATCGTGGAGGGGCTTCCATGCTGTTTTCCACTGTGGCTGCACCAGCTTACAATCCCACCAACGGTCGGTACACAAGGCCTGCCTTTGCTCCGCGTCCTCGCCAGCACAATGTTTGTTGATCGACTGATGATGGTCGCTGACAGGTGCGAGGTGATGGCTCGTTGTGGCTTTAATTGGCATTTCCCTGCTCAGGGAGGCTGGGCAGCTTTCCACGTGCGTGCTGGCCACCGGTGTGTCCTCTGGGCAGAAGTGTCTGGTCTGTTTCCCCATCTATTTTTAAATTGAATTGGTTTTGGGGGGGAGTCCAATGGGGGGGGTTCACTTTTATGAGTTCTTTACATATTTTAGACAGTAGTCCTTTGTTGGAAATGTCATTTGTGAACACCTTCTCCCACGCAGTAGGTCATCTGTCCTTTTGTGTGTTGGTTTCCTTCGCTGTGCAAAACCTCTCTCCTCTGATGTAGCCATTTATTTTTCTTATCTCCCTCCCCACGGAGACATGTAACGAGGTACCTGCCACGCGTGGTGCCGGAGTCCGCTGCCCGTGTTCCCTTCGGGTTTTATGGTTCAGGTCTAACCTTGAAGCCTTTAATCCGTTTTAAATGTATTCTTGCACATGGTGTGAGAAAGGGGTGGTTTTATTCCTCGCGTGTATGTATGTGTCCGGTTTTCCCAGCACCACTTACTGGAGAGACCGTCTTTACCCCCTTGTCTATCCTGGCCTCCTGTGTCATGTATTAATTGACCATGTAAGTGAGGATTTATTTCTGGGCTCTGTATTCTATTCCATTGATTTATATCTGTTGTTACTGCTAGTACCATACTGTTCTGATTATTGTAGCTCTGTAGTATAGTTTGATATCAGGGACCATGATACCTCCCGCTCTGGTCTTTCTCAAGACTTCTCTGGCTCTTCAGGGTCTTCTGTGGTTCCATATAAATTTTGGGATTAGTTTTTATAACTCTGAGAAGCATGCCACCACTATTTTAACAGGGATTGCATTGAATGTGCATATTACTTTAGGTAGTGTGGGCGTTTTAACAGTGTTGATCCTTCCAATCCATGAGCAAGGTGTAGCCTTCCGTTTATTTGTATCTTACTTTTTCTTTCTTCAGAATCTTATAGTTTTCTGAGTACAGATTTTTTACTTTTTTGGCTTACAAAAAGCACTAACTGCATTATCAGATAAGCCCCAAGATTTCACTGGCTTAACCCTGAAAGATCATTTCTCATTCAGGGTAACACGGCTGAAGCTACAAGTTAGGAGGTGGCTTTCCTCCCAGTGACGCTTCAGGGCCCCGTCTTTTGTGGATTCGTCGTCCCGAGGGGGTCACGTGGTGTGTGTCCAGCCGGTGCAGGGGTGTCGGGGGAGCAGCAGCGAGAGGTCCAGAAACATGCCGGTCCCCACCGCTGGGCCGGTGAGCTCTGTCCCCCTACCCCGTGGACCCCTCCCTCGCTGTTTGAGCTGCGCTTGCCCAGAGCAGGCGGCCGGCAGAGCCCACCCGTTCCAGGAGGGCCCACCCACCCCCACCCCCCAGCTGGGGCTGCCACCCTCGGGGGGTGCAGGTGAAGAGGGTGCGGGGAAGGAGACTGGCCCGAGTCCTGGGGAAGTGGCAGGCAGACGGCATGTGTGTGCACTGAGCCACTCAGGTCGGAGGTGCTGAGAGGGAGTCAGCTCTGTTCTGGCCACCAGGTCATGACTTCTGCAAGCCTCGGGAGTGCAAACCACCCTTCACTTTGAGTCAACGCTGCCTTTTCCCCAGGCCCAAGCCGCTTCCTTCCTTGTCACAGGCACCCCACCTTCCAGACGCTGCAGAGCGCGCTGTTGCAGCGACACCAACACCTTGTTCCGGGAAGGACACCTCCCGCCATTTCCCCGGGCGCGGGCCGCTCCTGGCCGCCTCGCGGGCCGTGCTGTCTGCGTGCGTGTGGGTTAGCCGTCTGCGCTCGGTGTGGGAGAGGCTCCGGAACCTCAGCAGCACAGGGGCCATGCCTGCCCGCCGTCCCCTTCGCCGCTTGGTTGAATGGAGCCATTGTCCCTCGGGTATTAATCTGCCGTCACGACTGCCACTCTAGATATGCAAGGTCTCAGGTGGTATTTGTGAAGAATGAACAGCAGCAGCAGGCCAGCAGGGCTGTACCTGAGGGCAGCAGGTGGGGACGCGAGCTGCCCCTGCGGTTCCTGGCCTCTCTGGGAGAGACTCAGTCTCCTCCCTGGGGCGGCGCGGCCTCACCCCTCAGGGGCCTCTCGGGACCCCCGGAGGGCACGGGTGGGGGGGTTGGTTCGGCTGTGCGAGGGGGTCCCCCTTCCACACCGAGTGCCACAGCTTTTGTTTGTGCATCTCCCCAACCGAAGACTAAAGCGATACCGAATCTTCAGCTCAGTTATACCTGATAAATGTTTTTCAAAAGCTCTTTTCCTGTCTTCTTTCTCAGGCTAATTTTTAAATAGGGCCTTAGGCCAAACCATGAACCAAAAAAAGCAAGGTATGAACCTTCTTAATTTACCAAACCTCAGACCTAACCTCATTTTTTTTGTGAACTAACAACAGGGACTTTTTTTTAAACGGACTTGAAGCACCAGCTAGAATTAAAAGTTTGTTTTCTAAACTAGATGAAGCTGTACACCACAAAGTGTTTCTGAATCTGAGATCTTCACGGACTGGGTCTCTGCCTCCACCCCCCACCCCCCACCCCCCGGCATGCCCCGGCGGTCAGAGCCCCAGCACCCGGCCTGGCGCCGGAGCTGCAGTGAAGTCCTGCTTGTCTTTCAGGTTCAGTATTTCTTCAAGATCCTGGACAACTAGCAGCGCGGGGAGCCCGGGAGGCGGCCACGGGTCGGGGCGTTCGGACGCGAGCGAACCACGCACGTGAGGAATGTGTTCATTCTTTTATTGTCCGTTGTTTTCACCTGACTGAATACAAGGTCAACAAGAGCACTGCACTCCTGGCGATCGTTACACATGTTAGGACATGGAGTTTGCACTGCAGACAACATTTAACACCGGTCTGTGGGGCACTGCATCGCTTTTTATAAAGTCCAAAATAAAGATTTATTTTTCAAACAAGTGACTTTGGTTTATTTCATACATTACACTTTTTCTTGCAGAAAAAAATAAAATTGTACAACTGCATAAATATAAAATTCTTCCACCATGAAAATGGTTAAAACATTCATGAAGACACAGCACCAGCACGTGATGCCTCCCGAGAAAGGAAGAAAGGAAAGGAAAGGAAAGGAAACGCACACAGCAAATCAACTGGGCAAGCGCGACGGCCCCGGCCGGGGGCCGGCTCCCCGACGGCCCCGGACGACAAGGTGAGCGACAGCCGGACCGCGTCCGGGACCAAGCACAACAGGGCCCCTCGCCGTCCTGCGCGTCTCTGCAGTAACCCCGAAAACACAAAGGGCAGTTCCCCCGTGACCTCCCCGCACCCCCAGCCCCAGGGCGGGGAAGGGAAAAAAGAAAGACCGAACACCACAGGAAAGACTATGGAGTGTGTTAAAAATGCTCGTCGATGGGTCGTCACCGTGGAAAGAGCCACCCCCCCCCACCACCCCGAGAAGTGCCATGCCAGTGCCTCCCCTCGCGTATGTACACCGCGGCGGCGAGCCGCGCGCACGGGAAGTAGAAAACAGACAGGAAACATGGCTTGGAAGAGGGCCAGAGTGCGCACCTGTAGGACTACAACGAGAACACACACACACACGCAGCAACACCTAGGCGCCAGAGACACTGCTCACTACGCGTCGTCATGGAATCATAATTTACAGTAAAAAGGGCACGTCCCAAGGCTCAATTTGTGTTTCTCTGTTGTCATTTACAGTAGAATAAATATTTTGTTGCTATTGCTACACTTTAAATTTACATTCTAACCTATGAGATGCGGAAAGCTAGTGTAAAGCAGATAGATGAAGTGTAGGTCCCATACGTATGACAGTTTGTTCAAGACTAGTAGGTTTTTGTATCTTTTTTTAACTTCCTAAATGGCTAGTGGGGACGCGCTGCGCTCGCGATCAGCTCCGGACCTCGATCTTCACGTCGAAGCGCCCCTGAAAGCGGTCCTTCTCGCTGTACTGGATGTTCTCGCCGAACGCCCGGCACTCGATGCGCACCTCCGTGTCCAGGGTCAGGTTGGTGAACTGCACGGCCAGCAGCGGCTGCAGGTACTTGGGCTGCAGGAGCTTGCCGTAGTAGGGGTAGTACTGCAGCGGGAAGCCCGGGTAGCCGCCCAGGCCGTAGTACTCCACGGCGCCCACTCGCTCTTTGTCCTCGTCCCGCTGCAGACAGGAAGGAGACGAGGCGTCAGCCCCGGGGTCGAGGCCCGCAGGCGGCCGGCGTCACCCCCCGCCGCCCCAGGCCTGCCCTGCTCCACCGGTCCCCCTGGGAGGAGGTGCGCCTTGGCCCTGGAGGGCACCGGGGGACCCGATGCAGGCTTGAGAAGCAGCCCGGAGAGACGGCCGTGGCCGTGAACTGAGGCTGTGCCAACTGCACAGACCGGGGCCCTCCGAGGAGTTCTGCAAGCCGCCCCTCCCCCCGCCGCCTTCCTGTTTTGAGCAGGTGTACCAGTAGGCTGCGGCTCAGCCGACGGAGGCTACTTCCTGGAAGCAAGGTTTCTTGTTTCCCCATCAAAACTTTACCTCCAACTTGAAACAGCCCGCCCAGCCCCCCTCACTGCACCCCCCCGTGCCCCCAGCGGCCCCCAGCAGCCCCCCGAGGCCACCTCACCTTGCCGGTGCACTGGACGGGCAGCACGTAGGGGTTGTACTTGGCCACGAGGGAGTTCTCCAGGGACTCGTTCTTGGGGGGCTAGAAAGGAAACCCGCTTCAGTCAGTGAGTTTGTAGGCAGTGTTTAAGTTTCTGGGAGCCAGACCGAGCCAGCAGCCCACGCGAGCACACACACCCTGGTCAGGATCCGTTGCCCAAAGCCACGACACTGCCGCAGGCGGCAGATGGGCGAGGGTCCTGGCCGGCCGAGGGGAGGCCACGTGGCGATGCCGCTGATCTCCCCCACGCGCCCGGACGGCGCCCCTGCTGGGGGCCCAGTGTCAGCGTCACCGAGGGCCCTGGGAAACGAGAGCCGTCCAGGGCCCAGAGCTGACCTCCCTCGTGCACGGAGACTGTAACGGAACGGGGGGTCGACACTGCCGTGTCTGTAAAACTCAGCCTGCCTCCCGAGCCACGAATGTCTGAGTGAGCGAGGCTCCCTCCCTGTCCCTCCAGCGCCGCCTTCAGCCAGACCTCCCCTCCCTGTGACGTCCAGCGGGGGCCCTGCAATCTGGGGAGCATTCCTGACTGTCGGGGAGGCCCTGTCTGCAGAGAGAAAGGGGGCGCTAACCTAAACGAAGTGAACTTCGGAAAGCACTGCTGCAGCAAGGCAGCCAGACCCCGCCTTCCTGCACCCCGGGCCCGACTCGACCTCCCCCGGAGGGAGGAGCACCTGGCCAGGGGGGAGGCCACCGAAGCTGGACAAAACGGGCAGCTCTCCGTCTCGGCACCGAACGCACACTCCCAGTGCCGCTCTGGCTCGGAACGGCAGCAGACGACGGTCCAGAGGGGACTCACTGCCAGAAACCCATGCGTCCTCACACACGGGAAGACGAGACCGGGGACCACAGAGCCAGATTCCAGAGACAGCGAGTCGCGTTCCTACAGCTCGGCGCATGGTGCCGGTTCCTCTCAGGACAGACACCGCACTCGAGGTGACAGTGCCCACGTGGGCAACCGGGGTGGGGGCGGGGGGCGGGGGAAACGGACCTGCCGGAAGAATCCCCGCTTGGGAAAAGGCCGGCACTATCTACTCATGATCTCCAGGAGAGAAAACGTAACTAGTTTCATAAAAGCATTAGACGCCGCCCCTAAGTGTTCCCCTTTCCACAGAATTGCTATCATCTCACGAAACGGTGACTCTGCTGTCCTGCAGTGCCCCCCAGAAACGCCGGCCCAGCATGAGCGGCCGTGAGGCCCACAGGGCGGCCATCGGAGCTCGACTTAGCTCCCACGTCCAGGTCTGCAGGGCCGGCGACCTCGCTTGCTCACCAGCTAATTTAAAAGCACCACCCCGCCCCGAGAGCCCCGAAACCAGAGTGCAGGGGCGTGTGGGGGTGGTTTTTAAAGTTCAAAGTATCTCCTTCTAGTTTTACTTTTAAAGAGTTTGAGTTACACAGGTGGCTCCTTGGCCTTTCGGCGAAGACCGAGGGCAGCGCCCCTCCCGACCAGCTGGAAGGGCACAGGCCACGAAAGCTGCTCCCTGGGGGCCGAGCGCAGGCGGCGGGGCCAGCCCCTGCCGCTCAGAACCCCCGGCTGTGGGACCCCGAGGGGCGCCTAGCCCCGAGGGCTGCGAGGGCACCCGGGAGTCTGCGGTGCCGCCCCTCACCGGGCTGCGGCACCCCTGCTGAAGCTCCTGAGAACCTCCCCAGACCCTCTGCTCGCACGGGTGAAGCGCCACGTCCGCACGCAGCGGCCCCCCACCGCACCCCCACCCCCACCCGGGGCCCTGCGTGGTGCGACGTCACTCGCCTTTGGCTTAAAGCCCAGCACGCGGTTGAGCTTGATGAAGACGCAGGGCTTGCCCTCCCGGTAGCCGTAGGTCTCATCTTGCAGCCCGGAGCAGTTGCCCAGCCACTCGAGCCGGAACCTGCACACCTTCCGCTGGCCCGCGTCGCTGTCGTAGCCGCCTCGGTCTTTGACCTCGCTGGGCACGCCTGCAGAAGAAAGGCCGTGTGCGCACGCTCCTCCCACGGTTCCCCTCGGCAGGGGTGTCCGCCCCGCGGCCCGGGATGGCTGTGAGCGCGGCCCAGCACACAACCCTAAATTCACTGAAAACGTCATGAATTTTTTTGTGTCACAATGTTTTTAACATGTGACCCGACAGCTCTCCTCCTTCCAGTGTGGCCCAGAGACGCCGAAAGGTTGGACACCCCCGCGTAGCACCCTGCACAGCAGGGACAGGCACTGTCGGGGCCCCGGCGAGCCAGCCCTCGGCTCTTTGCCGGCGTTAAGAAGGTGTTTCACCAAAAGCAACCGCCAGTCCCCAAACCCGCACCGGAGTGTCATCGCACTGGATAGTTAGCACGCGGCATCTGTCCCTGGCAGGGTTCCTCGCCCTTCAACAGCGGGCGACGCAGCTGCTGAGCGGGAACCGACCGCTCGTCCCGAGCAGCAGCGGCAGCGCAGGCGCAGGGCGGCACGGCTCCACGCCGAGGTGGGCACGGGCCGTCCGAACACAGATCGCGGGGTCAGCAACCCCTTTCAGAGCCCGGGTGCTGGTCAGCAACCCCTTTCAGAGCCTGGGTGCTGGTCAGAATTTCCTGGGCTACGCCTCAGGAGCAGGTTGAACCGTAAAGAGGAAAAGAATTGTTTTTCCTTTTCAACTACCCTTCAAGGGTGGTTTTTTTTTTTTTTAATTTCAGATTTGAGTTTTTGCCTTCCAAAGCAGTGAGTTCTTACGAGCATTAGTTCAACTGAGACATTCTACTGTAGCGTTTTTTTATTCCTCATGATAATCCCGGAGAAAGAATGAGAGAAACGGAGGATTCAGCGTTAACACCAAACATCCCGTGGAATATTGGTGTAAACAGACTTTCTGTGCAATTTCCACTGACAAAGTAACTGTTTTCCCCTCCAGTGGGGGAGCACCTCAGTTCCCTCCATCGGGCCTTCCCATCACCGCCCAGACAGACAGAAACCTCCTCTCAACTCTAATGGGAAAACCTGGGCGAGATGTTCCTTGTAAATACGTCAGTCTTTTCAACGAGACTTGAAAAGGAGCTTCGGCCGCACTGTGACCGGGGAGCGAACAATCTGCCGCGTGAGGATCTGGGACTGGGGCATTCCCAGACGCACTCAGGGGGCCTGGCACCACCGAGTAACCCTGGGGGGTGGGGGGGGGGGCGCTCGTCCTGGTGGGAGGTGCAGGGCGGCCCAGGGGCCGTGCCCCGGTGGGGGGGAGGCGGGCCTGCGGGCAGGGGTCTGGGGCTACTAGCGACTGTGCCGCTCACAAGCAGTGGGCACCAGCAGCCAGAATGGAACTGGGAACTGAGTCTGCGCAGGAAAAGGCAGACCTGCCTAGCTTTTGTGGCTACATTGTTTCTTCCGTGGCATCCAAGCCTGAGCCATCAAGTCTTCCTGACTTTTAAAAAAAACCAACAACAAAAAAAAGAGCGTCCTCTCAGCACGTCCAGAGTTCAACCTCTCTGTCATTTTGGGCACATCTACAGTTCGGTGACGAGACACCGAACAGGGACGGGAAGTGAGACCCCACGGACCGCGAACGCCCGCCCCACCCCCCAGGCGCCTGCACTCACTGCCGCAGTCCTCAAACACCATGTCGTCCCGCTGGGCGCCGTCCTTGTACTTCTCCAGGAAGCGGATGATGTTGGTCACGTAGGCCTCGTAGCTCTTGGGGTCGCTGGGGCGGAAGGAGATCTCGGTCTTCTGGATCTGGGGGATCTGCGTCAGCCCTGGGCCGGGCAGAGGCGGGGACGGAGCGGTCAGCGGGGTGGGGGGAAGGGGTCAGCCCCAGACCTCCAGCGCGGGCTCTCCGCCGCGTCCGAACCACACCCTGCTCCTCCCCCTTCTGGCTACAAGACAGCCCGTCCTCACACTCTTGGGGGCCCCCAGCAGCCAGGGTGACAAGGACACAGTTACAGTGGCAGTGACCTCGAGCCCACGGCAACCGCCTTGCAGCCCCATCTGCGGGGTCTGAGGACGGGCACCAGTGGGGCCGGGCTAACGGGCAGTTCCGTTTCCGAGTGCCCGAGGGGGCGCTCAGCCTCAGACATGGGGGAGTGATGGGCCCGGCTTGGGGGCCGGCCACAGCTCCACGGAGGGACACGGGGGTCTGGGGCCAGGCCTGGGGTGCCCTGAGACAGACGTCGTTAGGGGTGACATTAAGAGTCATTTCAAAAGGATGATGCGGAACCCGAGCAGTTCTGGGGACAGCGCTGTCACCAGCTACACACAGAGTCGCAAGGGAAGTTGGCAGAGCTCACCCATAAAAAAAAAAGTCTCCCAATGAACACAAACACAGGTTACTACAATGAAAGCTTTTCAGATGCTCCCCGACCACAGAAAACGGCGTGACTGCGGGAATTTAAGTGGGCGCTGAGCAACGCCCCCCGTCGCATCAGAGAAGCTGGCACCGTGGTCCCTTACGGCTCGACGGGCACGGGGATGGGAACGGCAGAGACCCACAGAAGTCAAACGGCCGGGCAAGCCCGGGGGAGAAGCCCCGCCCCCCGCCAGGTCCCCGCACTTGGGCGGCAGGTGCCCAGGCCGCCCCGCTGCCAGGGCAGGGCCCACGAGGGGAGTCCTGACTGCCTCAAGCTGCACCCAGACACCTGCGTCGAGGCCACCTGCCCGGACCCGCGGGAAATGCAGGCGCAGGCGGGGGCAGAGGTGAGACAGAACTGGGGGGGGGGGCAGGGGACTCCCCTGGAGCACGCCTGGAGTCGGAGAGAAGGGGTCTGTAAGGACGGGGGTGGGGGTGCGGGAGAGCCCAGCAGTGCTTCCCTCTACCTTCACCTCTGCCTTCGCCTCTGCCGGGGGGCGGGGGAGGGGTCGTGGGGGGACAGACATGGACGGAGAGAAGGTCTGCGTGCCCAGGCTGGACAGTGTCCCCAGCCGGGGACAGAGAAGGCGGGAGACGGGGGACAGGGAGGGTGGAGACCAGAGCAGCCGCCGTGGGAAACGACGGCCCGATCTCAGCACGCCCTCGGGGAAGCAGAGGGCAGGGAAGACCGGCCGGCTGGCTGGCGGAGGGGACATCAGTGTGACCGGTGCCCGTCGGGTCACCAGCAGTGCAGGCGACGCAGCGGAAAGCAAATGGTGACATGACGTCCCCGAGCCCGGCGTGGGACGTGGGGAGCCTCGCCCAACGAGGCCCCAGAGTGCACCCCGGTCCTCATTGCCGCCGGCTGGCCTGGGGCCAGCGCCCCGCCCCAGCGCCTGCCTCTCACTTTCTGGCTGCTCGAGGCCCCCCTCCCGGAGGCCCCCGTCCCTCAGTCTGTCCCAGACGAGGGGGCAGAGCGGGGACCGCAGAGCACTTCGCCTGCCCCCACGAGGCCGGGTCCAGGGTCTCCACCGAGAGACCAGGTGGCCCCTGTGACAGCCCGCAGTGCCAGCGGCTCCCACTCAGCGCTCTGCGCCTCCACCACCCAAAGAGGACCGGTCAGTGCGTCCTCCAGACGCCCAGGCCGCGGCTGTGGTCAAGGCCAAGTCCATGCTCCTCTTACTTACTCAGCCTTTCTGATCAGCAAGCGCCTCTGCTGTTAATCACGGATGACCTGACTTAAGCAGATCGTAGGTGCTATTACATGCAGGACGGCACTAACGGCCCAGAAAAGACAACAGGCTCCTGCCTCTCTCCGCAGGCGGTGGAGAGGTAACGAGAGCCCAGCAATGGAGTCCCACCGCTCGATTGCCACCTGGGCGCCCGACTCCCTCCCTCGGGGAGCAGGCTCACGTCCGACCCCGCCGAGCCAACACCGCGGGGAGAAACGCAGCAGGAAGAGAATGGAAGGACCTGGACTTGGTTCGGTGCAGAGAGGCACCTGAACCTGGTGAGGCCGGGAATGCAAGGTGACGTGGGCGGCCAGGCACTGGGGCTGGGGACCCTGTGCCCTGCTCGCCTGGGTCAGACCTGGGCCAGAGCCCCTCCCCCGCCAGAGCTCCCCAACCCCCCCACCACAGGCTCCCCGAGACCCGCCAGCCTCCGAGGCCGGGTGCCGGGCTGCCCTAACCGGGAGGACATCTCCTCCAGACCTCCTCCCCGAGTGGTTCTCCGACGTCACTGGACGCTCACGAGAGGCAGATAAAGGGCCCGCCACCTGGTGTCTGCCTCCTCCGAGTCATCCACTTGACGAGGCTCCGGACGGAGGAGGGGAGGGAGAACAGGGAGGGAACGGGGTCTGGGACCCCGGGAACATGCTGTCCCCGACGTGGTGCCCTCCGGGGCGGGGGGCAACAGAGACGGCCCCTCGAGCTCCCCTTCACATGTCCACCCGGGCTGGACACTGGTAGCACGTGCCCCTCCGCACTGCCCACCCCGAGGGGTCGGCTGCAACTGTGCACACGGACGAGCTCAGTCTGCAGCAGCAGCCCCCCCGGGGGGGGGGGGTCCGGCCAAGGCCGGCAGAGCGCCCATCGCGGGCTTGTGGCTTCAGGTCCCACCCCGGGAACCGGGGCTGCCGCGCAGCCCCTCCCCACCCCTGAACTCCCGCTGAGGGGAGCCACGACGAGCTCCACGCGGCTTCGCGAGTACGATCGTTTGCCTGAAATTACACGCCGCTCGTACTCTAATAACGCCCCCTAGAAACCTGAAATGACCAGGGTACGGACACGCTGGTCTTTGGCCATGTCAGCTGCGCGTGAGGTTTGGACCCCTCTGGCTTCGCGTGGCTTCCTAGACTCACACACGTGCCTTTCCCCTCGGTGCCCAGCTCCTGAGAACCGAGGAGAACCCTCAGTCCGTGGCTTCGGTGGGTGTTTGGAGGAGGAGGGGACCCCCGAGTGAGAGGGGAAGGAACAGGAAGGAGAGAGGAGGCTTCTCCTGAAGAAAGGAGTATTTTGTTTCCAATCACGCTTAAAAAAACGTAGCAGGTTGACCGTGTCTCAGTCTGCTCGTGAGTCGGAAGCGTTTAGAGAGACCAGCCCCCCAGCCCCGTGACGAGAGTCCACGAAGCCCGGACTCGGAGAGGCGTCCCCGGCGGGCGGTCTCGCTGGGGACCCCCGAGACCCACCAAACGCGCTGGCCCTGAGCGGCACGGCTGGAACCGCGTGGGTCCGCGTGTGCGCGCGCTTTTCCAGTGCACTGGGGACTTTTAGGAGGCTGGAAATTTGAAAAAATTCAGAGGAACTGTGTAGCCTAGAACTATCAGAAAGAAGAAAAAAAAAGGAAAAGGTATGTTGTGAATGCATAAAATTTAAGTACGTATTTTCTCATTCTGGTTTTCTTACTAATGCCTTTTCTCCAGCTACTTTCCTGTAAGAGCACGCTACACACCCCACGTAACGCACGAGAATGTGTCAGCGAGTTCCTGTTGTCGGTGGGGCTTCCTCCCGGTCCGCGGCGGGCGAGCGGCAGTTCGGTCTGGGGAGCGGACAGTTGTGCGTGCATTTCCGGTTGCACGGGGGAGCCCGCACCCCTAACGCCCACAGTGTCCCAGGTGCAGCCGCACTGCAGATGAGCCTCATTTCCCACAGGAGCCTCGGGGGGTGCCCACGTGACCACCAAGGGCACAGGAGGCAAAGGGGCGCTAACTGGTGTGGGAGCCACACACTGGACACCCGCCTGCCGTGTCTCTCCTGGACACTGCGAGTCGAGAGGTGATTTCCAGGAGAAGTCCGGGGGTGTGTTGTATACCCACAGACACTAATCTCCGTACAGGTACACACCTAAACACACATGTGCCGTGTACACACACAGTTTCTCCCTCCGAATGCCGTTGAGATACTTACAGATTTTATTTGGGTTTTAACTTTTGTTCCGCCTCCACAAGTTCAGCACCAATTTACTTATTAATACTGAGTAACGGGGAGGGCGCGGGGAAAAGGCACCCCTGTGCCTTCTGGACACCAGCCGCCCCCACCTGACCTCCCGCCTCAGGCTCAGGGGTCCTGACAGCACCCAGGGGTCGGCCAGACGCGGCGGCGGCGGCCCCTCCGGGCCCAGGAGAACCCGCTCCCTCTGGAAAGTCCTCGGACGGGGAGCTGCCAGACCCTCTCTGCACCCCCATGGGTGTTCGGGGCCCTCGGCAGACGGAACCCCGTCTCCTGCCTGACGCAGCTGAATGCCGCCCGCCCTGGTTGAAGGCCAGCCCGACCCTTCCCGTCGCCGGCCCTTCCCTGGGCGCGCACCCCCACTCCCGGGAGGGCCCCGCACAGGGCCTGTCTCACGCGCACACGCGTGTGTCCTCTGGCGGAGGCACCGCTGTGCACTGCGTGGTGCTCCCACGGGCTCTCCCGGGGGAAGCACGGCTCTCGTAACCAGAGAGCAGACACAAGAGGCCAGTCCTCGCATTGGACATGGGTCACACGTTTCCGTTCGAGGCCGGCCTGAGGGACCAGCACAGACGGCGCGCCTATCCTGCCCAGACACGCAACGCGACATCAGCTGAGTGGCCGGCACCCGGCAACGGGACACCGCCTCAGACCTGGAACCCCGCGCCTGCTCAGGTGTGCGTGTGGGAAAAGGTGGCTTTTCGGGTTGCGGGCCGCCACGTGCTGCTCCCCTGGTCCCCTCATCTGTCGGCATCAGATGGGCCCTCGGGCCACAGGGTTTCTGGGATGAGGGCACTGAACCCCAAAGGGCAAAGCAGCCACCCCCACCGCATTGCACCACCTGGAGACAGAGACCCTGGTATGTGGCAGAAAAGCCCCGAATGAAGCTTCGCAGGCCCAGGCCCCTCCTGCCCCCGTGGGGGGGGTCGCCCGGCCCCATCCACGAGCTCGCCGCTCCACTCCCCTCGCCAAGGCCCCCCCCCCCCGCCGCCCGGAGCAAGGCCCCCTTCCCCGCAGCTGCAAGGACATTTCAGAGTCGGTCACCGGGCCTCCCGTGCCCCCACGCAGACTCATTAGCTGCACCCTTGTCTTCAGGAAGGAAGAAAGTCACTGTGGGGCAGTGACGAAGCCACGGAGGCTGGGGACACTGAGGGACGAGAACCGGGGTCTGGGCAGCCGCTTCCGGAAACCTGTGCCAGCCCCCACTGCCCCACTCCCCCCCCCACGGCCTCCAGCTCCAGCTCGAGCAACCGCTCCCAGAAACTCTTCGCAGGAAGCCAAGGGTCCATCACCTTCACGACAGCATCCGCCATGGCCCCCGGCGCGCAGCCCAGGGCCGCCAGAGCCGGTGTGCACGGGTGGAGGAGAACGTGGCTGTTCACAGCCGCCTTTTCACGCCGCTCGGCTCGTCTAACACGCACTTGCCTCATCGGTCCTCCCGGGCACCGGTCCCACTTTACAGATGGGGAGACTGCGGCGCGGGAGGCGAGCAGTGCGCAGGATGCTGGGGCTTGTGCCCAACGCCCAGGCCCCCTTCCCCCTCAGGCCCACGCCACTGCGAGCTCAGGGGCGACGGCTGGGGGCCCGGGCCCGCGTCTAGATTTAGGTCGGGCGGCAGGAGCTGGCCTGCCAGCGGGTGGCCAGGCTGACCCTCGAGAGAATGGCGGCTGAATGAGTCTCCAGCTGACCTCTCCACCGGGGCTCCGGCCCTGGACCCAGGCCCCGGGGGGCAGGTGTGTCCTGATCCCCCGCCACCCCAGGGCTGTGTGAGGAGTGTCCCTGGCACCTCGCTCTGGAAACCGGACCCGTCATCCACTTTTTCTTAAACTCCACTTTCACTTTGTCATTTGGCCCCGACCCGCTCCTATTCGGCCGGGCGGCTCGAGAGATACACGGTGGACCCTCGGGTTCCGCACGACCGCTCAGCCTGGCCCCACTCAGGCCGCTCCCGAGCGGAGAGCGGACCGCAGGTGCGCACGGGACGGCCTGCAGGAGCCCCCAGTCCCTGCGGCGATGGCTCCAGCCAGCCTTTCAGTCTCCCCGCCCCCTCATCAGGGGCGCCTGACGCAAAAGTACAGTTTTCCCCTTTATCGTCCAGGTAGAGGCTCAGAGACACTAAGCGGGAGCCCACACTTAGCCAGACTCCTCCTCCACCCACCGGCGCCGTCTGCAGGCTGGAGGGCAGTCCTGCCCGTCCAAGACGCGAACCGCGGACATACGCTCTGAAGGGGGCCAGGAGGAGGGACCGCCGCTCAGAGATGGTCCCCTGGGCCGCACGGCCGGTGGCCGGCCTTCCACCCCCCTGGCCGCCTCCGTGCAGAGCGGCCGGCGTGGCCTGCACGCTGCGGCATCCTTTGGCAAGGTGACCAGTGACGGGTGACGGGGGGCTTGGCCTGCGCGCCCCGGCACAGGGAGGCTGTGGAGATGAGGGAGGGGAAAGAGAAAGGACAACGCAGGTGACGGGGCCTGTGACTCAGTCCGGAGGACAGGGACGCATATTTCCAGGGTGAGCCACGGGTGTTGCTTTGGACGAGCGACTCCAACAGCCGCAAGGACACTAAATACAGGGGCTGAGAGAGTGTCTTTTAGGAAGGGGCTGGAGGGTCGGGGTGGGGGGAGGACCCAGCACCACCGCCACCTCCGTGGACTTCCCGGCAAGGTCCCCCGCAAGGTCCCCACTGAAGAGGCAGGCGCTCCGGCCACTGCCCACTGGAAGTGCACGTCTGTTTCTGCCACGGCCACGGAGGGACGTTCACCTCCCGCGAGAGGCCAACTCCCCCAGAGTCTGTGCGGCCAGGGACCATTTTTTAAACATGGGAAACGAAAACGAACGGCTTGACTTTCTGGCCGACTGTGGCTTTCAGTTAAGAACTATTGGGAAACAGCACCGCAACTGGGAACCAGCGTGTAGACGGCAAAACACACAGGGGCCCGAGCACACCTGAGTCTCGACGGCCGCGAAGAGCCCCGGCAGAGGAGGGCGTGAGCAGCCGCCCACCGTGCGGCCAGGAGGGCCAGCGGTAGCGTTTCCCAGGCTTCTCGGCACCCGCGACACCCCCTCCAAACCCGCCTCCCCCCCAGACACCCATCTTCGGGAAACGGCGGCCGAGACGACGGGCTCTCAAACGCAGGTGTGGCCCCCCCTCTACACGTCCATGCCTTCTCTCTCCACTCCCAGCCCCTCCCCCGCCAGCCCTCCCCCCCCCCCAAGGTCTCTGGAAATACCGGGGGCTCCCCTCGCGTCAGAGACCACCTGACTCGGGGCGAGGAGGCGACATCCCCCACCTCCACGCTCGGAACACTTTCTCTCAGCCAAGAGTCCTTCCCGCACCCAGGGAGGCGGACGTGACGCGGCCGCGGCATGATCGCGGCCACTCCGTGACAGGAGGACGGCCTCGGGATTGTCACCTCCATACAGCTGTTGCTCAGCAGCTGCCCGGGGAAACCGGAGAGGGGATGCGTCATTGCCACCCCCCGAAGGTCGTTTCTAAGGAGAGAGCCCGGACGTTACGCAACCCCTCCCCGCCCCCTCGGGCCTCCGACCGTGACTTTTAAGAGGCGGCCGCCCTGGCGGCTGCTCCGCTGTCCGGGCCGGTGTGGACACGCACCGCTGGGCAGGCGGTGCCGGCCGCTCGACACCGACCTGGCGGCGCGCCCGCCCCAGCAGGGCACTCGCGTGGCGCCCGGCGTCTCCTGGAACCTTTGTCAGCCCGGCTTTCAGAGCCGAAGGAGACAGTTACACTGCGGCGCGGGTCCCGAAAGCCAGTGAATCAGACTCTGAGTAAACAGCCATAAATACCGAGCGCTGGAGGGAGTGCTTTTGTTCAAGGTCAAACTGCAAGTCAAGAGCAGTTGGGAGAGTGGACCCTGAAGTCGACTCTTCGTGGGCGGAACCAGTCCGCCCTCAAGAGCAGGAGCTGAGGCGGCGTTTGAAAGGGTTTTCTGAGTCACGGCCCCCGATAGAGTGAGACAGTGTGTGAGAGCTGGCAAGGCCCTGGGCTGGTCCCAGTCTTGCCCCCGTAGACGTCGGCGACAGGCGACCGAGGCGGGCCGTCACTGGGGGGCGGGCGGGCCACAGGGTCTGGCGCACCCTCACTCCCCGCCCCCCAACCCCAGAGCCGAGAGACACCACGTCTGCGGCCCCGGGGCTCCGCCAGCAGAGAGGAGCCGCTGCCTTTCCTCCTGCCTTTCCTCCGGGGCTGGTGCCCTGCGTCCCCCACAGCCGCCCGCAGGCTCCGCCCACCCTCCTCCCTCGGGAAGAACCGAGCGCGTGCGCGTCCACACCCACATCCACCTCACCTGGCGGGGCCACGCGGTCCTGATAGGTGGGCTTGAACTCACTGATGGTGAGCAGCATCACCTGGATGGTTCCGATGAAGATGCCGGCCAGGCAGCCGTAGAAGATCACGTAGAACAGGAGGATCTTAACTGCAAGGAGAGCAGACACAGCACGAGGCCGTGAGCCGTCGCAGGCTGGGCTCGCGGCTCGCGCACCCTCCGCTCCCGCACCCTCCGCACAGGTGTGCCACGTCAGGGTGGCGGAGGGCAGGGGCACGTTCAGCTAGAACTGAGAGCCTTTATGGGAAAGAATCTTACTCCCTACGTTAAAAAAGAAGTTCCTGGAGGTCGCCAGGGAACTCAAGGGCCGTGTCTGCGTGCTTCGGCAGGGCGCTGCCCACCGCCCCTCCGCTGCCTCTCTCGGTGCACAGACGCTGGGACGGGCCAGGCGTGCCCCCACCAGGGAGGCTCTCCCACTTGGCGCTGTCTCCCCCCACCCTTGGTGCTCTTCACGAAGCACCCAGTCTTTCCATTCGGGTGCACCAAACGGGGGCCGGGGGGGGGGGGGGACGGGGGCTGCTCTAGTGGAAACGGCTGGCATGTGTTTACTGCGTCTCCTGGATGACGGCTGCCGTGAGGGACTGCAGATCCTGTTTCCTGGGACGGCACGGGCCGAGAGGGCCGAGAGAGCAGCACGCCCAAACACCCAGGGGCCCTGGGGCCGGCTGTGCCGTCAGTTCCTGGTCTGCAAGGATTCTCTCCGGCTCGGCTGCACCGTACCAGGCTGTGCCAGGCAGGGCCGCGGCCCCAGGCCAGCCAGACACGTCGAGGGGAATGCAGAGGGGGAGAGAGCCCTGAGGGTAGCCAGTCCCACACGCCTGCACAGAGAGGCCTTTGGTGCCACCCAGAACGTCAGGCCCCGTGCCCGAGTTGCTGGGGTCCTTGGGGGGAAAGCTCCAGAACAAAAGTGTCATTGACAAGAAGTGGAAGAGGGTGGTGGGAGGCGCCTGGGGAGGGAGGGGGTCCATGGTGCGGGGCATCAGCCCAACTTGCCCATTAGCAAATAATCATGCTCGAGGGCTGTTTAAAAAAGCTACACAGACCTAAAACTGCACCAAAAAGGTGGGTTCTAATCCTTCCAAAAGAAGGGGGAAGGCAAAGAAAGAAGCAAAAGAACATGCAGAGGCTGCACGTCCCAGAACCCCTGCTGCCCAGCCCAGCCGCCGCCGCCCAGCGGGGCAAGGGTTAAGTGCCTGCTGCCTCTGGTATCCAGGCAGCGGCAGGCAAATGGCACGGCTGTGACGTCAACAAGAGATCTGGAAAATTTTTCCAGCCACCGCTCCTAAGAGGTGCAAGGGCTGGTGCAGCGCGGCCAGAGAGAGCGGCTGGAGCGCCTTTTCCTTTTTTTTTTGATGCCCCCACCCATCCGGCGCGCTCAGCTTGACCACACTGGCGCCTCCGGCCGCGTCCAGGGCATGTCTGTGCTCCTCCCCGGACCCCAGACACCTAAGGCAAGCAGCACGGGAAGGTCCCTAACCTAACAGAGGCCACCGCGGCACACACACACACACACAGCCATGGAAAAACACGTCGCCTGCCGAGCACACTGGTGACATATAGGAAGGCATATCCTTGCCGGCCTGCCCAGTGCCGGGCCCTAAGAGAAGTGAGCCTTCCCCTTTTGCTCTGAAAAATGGGCCCAGGTACTGAGGCGAGGCCACTTGGGTGGCGGGGAGTGCACAGGCCACCAGGGCTGCTCCAAGGGGAACGCTGGACAAATGGTACCGGCCAGCCAGGGGGCTCAGAGGGCAAGCGTTAGAGGCAAAGCTTTCCCTTTAAAAAAATAAAATATAGAGGTTTTCTAACTGGTGGAGGTGGGGTGGGGGGGGGGTGGGGGGGGGGGGGGGGGGTGGGGGGGGGGGGGGGAGAGGACCCTCTAAAGGGCCAGAAGCAAAGCAGGGCCCTGGGCCCAGCAGTGAACGTAACATCTACCAACACCTGCTACCACAACAGAGCCGGGGGCCGCACAGGTGGCCTGCGTTCACTCAAAAAGGTGGGCCGCACAGGTGGCCTGCGTTCACTCAAAAAGGTGGGCCGCACAGGTGGCCTGCGTCCACTCAAAAAGGTGGGCGGCTCAGGTGGGCTGGGCCCTGTGATTTCTCCGGCAGGTGACAGGCCAGGCGCCCGCGTCCATCTTGGCGAAAATGGACCGACAGGCGGAAACACGCCAAGGGCGACCTGCCTGGGCCCAAGGGCACGGAGCTGGGCCGGGGGCTGGGAAGGCGGCGCCTCCCCCGTCGGAGGAGCGACAGCCGCCACCCCCTGCACCTGCCAGAGGCTCTGCCCTGTCTCCGGCTGCCAGGGAAGGGCAGGCGTATCAGCACCGAGCGGAACCTGGGCTGTCGGCCCCTCAGAAAATGGAAGGAGAGGGGAGGCCGGCTCACTGAGGTCCGCAGCCACAGGGCGTGTGGCGGGGGGGGCGGTGCTGAGACACAGATATTAACACGGCCTCTCCCCCCCCGCCCGTGGAGGTGCCGCCCCATTACATGCCGGCTTACAGAACAAGTCGTCCCACACAGCCTTACCCTCTAAAGCAAATACTGTGCTGGAACCAGAATGAGGAAAGAGATACATTTTACGAGGGGGGTAAACACGAGAGGGCAGATTTCACAGCGCGCGTGGAGTCAGTGCGACCTCGGCCCATGCCGAGGCGGGGCCGACCACCTGGGCAGGGAGGGCCGATGGGCTGGGGACAGGGGTCCGTTCCGCAGTGCCCCCCCCCCCGCCCCGCCGGCCTCCCGGGAGTCTGCAGCAGCTGCCCGAAGACGGCCCTGGCTCCAGCGGGAGCTGTTCCTCCTGCCCACACCCGGACCTGCCGGTTCTCCCTTCCACGCTGAGAAAATGCCGGGAGCTGCCCTTGTGCGAGGGCAGCGATCGCACCCGAGAACAGCGTCCTCCCCATAAAATGAAACACGGAACACCAGCTCAGAGCCATCCCTGTGGAGACCCGCACGTAACAGGGCTCGGGGACACCTACGCTGCCTCGGAATGAGGTTTCACCTTGACTAACCTTGAAGGTGATGCATTATTAACCCTTCCCTCTTCCATCAAGAGGGCCCCACACGAGAGGCGGCATCCCCCCCCCCACAAAAATCATATATTCCGGCTCCTTCCATTTCAAAATGTCAGCCAAGCACTATTTCCCTGACTCATTCTGCTGATGCCCACAGATTCCCCCAATCAGCAGCCTGCCTCTGCCCCTCTGCAGGGCCCCCTCAATGGCTGCAGTGGTGGTGCAGGTGGTGTTCCTGATGATGGTGATGAAGATATTTGGGGGGGGGGCAGTGATGCAGGAGGGGGGAGTTCCCTCCCTCTGGGCTGCGGGCGCCAGTCACGACTCAGATTTGCCTACAACTCTGCCCTTCAAAATGACCTTAAAAAAAAAAAAAGTCAGCCTTCAGGTGTAGGGCGCAGAAAACAAGGTATCTAGTTTTCAATACAGGTGGGGGGTGGAGAGGGGGAACATGTCCAGCCAAGCAACAGGCTGCCCCAAATCTTAGGATGACCAGCTTCTGTCTCAGACGAACCCTTCACCATGACCGACCGGAGCTGCTGATTCCGCATCTGTCAGCAGAGACGTGGAAATCCACCAGACTTTGCCAGGTGCCGCCTGGGGCCAGGGCTCAGAAACGCAGCCCTGCCTTGGAGCTTCACGGGGCTTTGACGACTCCAGGGGAGGTCGCCGGGGTCTCGGGGCACCGCTCCGACAGACATACCGCAGTCTGGATGGACTCCCCCGCCCCGCGCCCCCGAGGTGCCTACTGAGGCTAGAAAGGGCTTACAGCACGCAGCCTCGCCTGCATTAGATGTGATTACCCCACGAAGTTCTCTCATCCTCAAATCTCGTTTTGTTTTCTGCCTTTCTTTAAGGACTTGGGGCATGACCCTCGGGAGAGGCACATCTGTCCCCCAGTGGCTAACCATTCCCAGGAGGAAAAGGCTCAAGCGATGCTCGGGTGGACTGCAAATGACCGAGACAAGAGCCCTGCAATACAGAGCCCTGTGCTGGCGCGTTCGGGCCCCCACCCTGCGCGCGTCCCGGGGACTCTGCATTCCGCACAGGAAGATAAGCCCGGCCAGCGCGACACCCGCCAGCCTCGCCAGCGCGTGGGTGCGGAGCGGTCCGCAGCCCCAGCGCAGGGGATGCGCCGCCCGGGAGAGGCGAGGCGCCGGGGAGAGCGCTGCGGACCCCGTACTTACACCAACTGCCACCGGTCCTGCCCAAAAACTCCTTCTTCTCTGAGTTCCAGATGAATTTCTTCCAGCTGCCCTCCTCCTTGGCTTTTCCGCGAGCCATGGTGGTGGGTCAGCAGCTGCCGAGGGGGCTGCGGGTGGTGACTGCGGCGTGCGCGCTGGGTCCTCTCCGGCTCCCGGCCTGGCTCTGCGCAGGCTGCACCCGCCGCTGCCGCTGCGGCGCTCCGAGTGCCGGACGCGCGGCGGAGCGGGAGCAGGAGCGGGAGGGGGAGGAGGGGGAGGCGGCGGCGGGGGCGGAGGGCGGAGAGAGGGACCGCGCGGGCTGGGCGGCTCCGAGCCCCGCACCTATTGGTGGGCACGCGGCCGCTCGCGGGCTCTCTTTGGTCCACCACGCGCTCCTCTCGCCCTTGGGGTTCCGGGGCCCCGCAAGCCCGCAGCTGCCACTCCCGCTGCCCCTGGGGACGCGCGCGCGCGGCCCCCGCCTCCTGTGACCTCTGCAGCGACAGGCCCGGGCAGGGGAAAGTCAGAGGGAAGGACGGACGAGCGGGCAGCGGGCCTAGCACACTGCAGCCCGCCGCACGCCGAGGAATTGGCGGAGGGCGCACGCTCTACCTTTACTTTATACCGCGCCGCGGAGGCACGAGGCCCCGCCCACTAGCGGCCCGGACGGCCAATCGCGGGCACGGAGGGGCGGGGCCTCGGGCCCGAGGGGGCGGGCACAGGCCGGCACAAAGGAGCCGCGGCGGCGGGCTGGCGCGCGGGGGCGCGGAGAGGGGCGGCGGGGACGCGGGGAGCGCGCAGGCGGCGCCGCACGGCTAGCTCCTCGCTCCCGGCCTTGCGCCCACCGGCCCCTTCTGTCACAGGGCGTCCTACCCCTGTGTCGCCCGGCGCCCCGCAGATACCCTGGGACCCCGGCCCGGCTCTCCGGATACAGACCCGCCCCACCCCGCGCTCCCGTTTTCCCCGAGCGCTCCCGGCCTTCCTCGCCCGCAGGTCCCCCCAGTCCGAGGCCGGGGCAGAGTGGGGGAAGGTCACTCCGGGACGCCCGCGAGTCGGGGACTCTGCCCAGCTCCGCCCCGCCCCCTCCCTGCCACCCCCCCCCCCCGCCCGGCTCCTGCACCTGCCGGCCCCTCGGCGCTCCCCGCCGCCGCGGTGGAAGTTCCGGCCCGTCCCTCCTCTGACCGACCGGCTGTGCTCCGCGCGGGCGGCCTGAACCACCTCAAACAGGACACTTGCCAAACCCACCCAGGGCGGCAGCCGGGCCTCGGGGCTTGGGAGGCGGAGGAGACCGACCCACCCCGGCCAGTCTTCCCCTGGGAACCAGTCGCGCTGCCAGGCGGTTCACGCTAGTCTAGACCCCCGGCAGCCACGTCTGCACGTGACCCAGCTACCAAGGACTCTCCCTGGTACCCGGGCGGCGGCTGGTGTTCTCACTGACGTGCTCTTACGCCCCCTTGGGGGTGGGGGGTACCGACCCCTTGGTTGGGCTGTGAATATCCTGGAACTAGAGGGATTGCGGAGGAGACGCGGCTCAAACGACTACACGTCCTGGGGCAGTGCTGGGCATGCGCCCCCTCCCATCACTCTCCCCTGCCGCTGCTGGGAAGCCAAACTCCTTGGTTTCATCTCCCTCGCCGCTCCACGGAACCCCTGAGCGGCTTCACGCGCGCCTCTCAGGGCAGTGACACAGCAGAAAAAGGCAGGACGCCTGCGCGATCACTGCGGAGAAGCCCCGTCCCGGGGGGCAGCACAGCCCACCTGGGAAAAGCAGATTTCCCGCCCCGTGTGCAGGGATCACCCAGTAAAGGGATGCTTGTCTGGGCCGCCTCTCTGTGTCCAAGGTCAACCCTGCAGATCTAAGGACAAGCCTGGGCTGAGTCGAGGGCTCTCTTTCCCACTAATCCTCCTCTATGCCCACGTGCAAGACTGGGGCACCCCTGAGAGTACCTGAAATTTAGGAAAGTGGCAGCCCCCAGCCCCACAACGCCCCAGCCCCGGAGGGGCTGCTGCTCCCAGGGCTCCCTCAAGGGCAACCTTGAGAGCGGCGTGTGTGGAGACAGGAAGCCACCTGGCTGTCCCCTACAGTGTTTATGTTGGCAACCCCCCCCCCCCCCCGCTGCTGAAGAAATGCAGGAAGAGGCTGCACCTGCCCACGGGAGGCCGGTCCCCTCCCAGCAGAGGTTACCTCAGGGAGGCGTTTCCAGCAGGACAGGTCACTTGCAAGGGCACCTGTTTACTGGGCACCAACTACCTGTAAGAGGAAAGAAAGCAGGTGGGTGGGCAGGATCAGCAGAAAAAGATGAGTGGGTGGAACAGGTAGGGAGGGGTGTGGGGTCGGACCTGTGCACACTCTCCTGTGCACCCTTCCACCCCCACCCGTGACTTCTGTCTGTCTCTCTCCCTCTCCTTCTCTCTTCTCCAGTCGACGTGTGCTCAGACGAAGTATGTGGGGACAGGCCCAGAGAGACCGATTTGTAATGAGAACCCCATTTTGCCTGTAAAAAAGAGTCCTCCTCCCCTCGCTCTCTAGGGCTGTAGCCAACACGGAGTTGGCCAGGTCTGGCCAGGGTGAGCTCTCTCTCTCGTCCTTGACCTACTGTGTCCCCTGGGGGACACTGCTCTCCAGCCCCGCATTGAATTTCACCTCCCCACCCTCGCTTGCTCACGCTCCCTCCCCTGCGCGTGAACTCTGACGAGGCCTCAGGGTGCTGCTGCCTTCGCAGGGGGCAGCCTCTCGTTCTGCACCAGCCCCCCCGCCAGGCTTCCCAGGAACCGCCCCGCTGGCTCCCCAGGCCCCGTATTGCCGCTGGTGAAGGTGACCGCAGGCCTGTGGGAACCAGCGGCGGACTTCCCAGCCCTCTAGACCACTCTGAAACGGTGTCGCCCCCCCCAACCACATCCCCACAGAGAGCCACCTGGTGGAGAGCAGGACGGGCCCGTATTCACACTCCCAGAGTCAGCACGAGCTGTGTGACCTTGGGCGAGTCACTGCTTCTCTCCCTGGCTGGCTCACGCCCCTAGTTGTAAAAGCGGAGTGCTGGCGTGTTGGAGGGTCAAATGGGAGATGTTTGGGGGGGAGGGAGGGGGGGAGTGCCTGTGCATAGCAAGAGCTATTAAGTAGCTAGCTTAATTATAACGAGCTCTTTCCATTTGACCTTACTGCGCCTCGGGGCTGTCACTGTGACTTTGCCACCTGCCCCCCTCCCTGGACTCCGGCTCCCTTAGAAGCTCACCCTGACTCATTCCCCACCCTCTCTGCCGCCTTCTCCCTGGCCTCGCAGCGTGCTCCCTGCTCCGTGACCTCCCCTAACTCTAGTAATGAGTAACCCTGGCACACCGTGTTCCTTGGGGCCGGGCCGGGCCGGGCTGTTGGGCGAAGGGTGCTCCAGCAGCGGGCTGAGAGCGGAAAGTGCAAGGTTCTCCGGCGGGAGGGGGCCTCTGGCAGGTGGAGCGTGCGGCTGGGGCGGGTGGGGGAGGTGCGGGCCGCGGGGACCCGGAGAGCCGCCTACGGAGACCCAGCGTTTCTCTGCGGAAAGGAGGAGGCAGGAGCTTGGAGGCTCAGGGCGGAGAGAACAGTTTTTACATCCCTCTCCCTCTGCAGGGGCGGGGGGGGGGCGGGGGGAGGACTGGGTCTGTGGGATTGAGGCTGGATCCCTGGAGGGAGGGGAGCCAAAAGCAGGAGGGATGGCGGGTTAGGGACCTCTGTCCAGGTGGGGACAGCAGGTCCTCACCCAGGAAGGGGACTGAGACGGAGCTTCAGCGGCCTGCAGGAGAGGGGGAGCTTTGGCAGGCTGCAGGCGGGAGACGGGGGGTGTGAAAATCAGACCCTCCCACTGACCCCCGCCCCCAAACACAAGGCCTTGTGTCGGCCTGGAAGGCTCTCCAAACCCCTTGCCCAAACACAAGGCGGTCGGTCTGCAGCCTGTACCGCAGCGGCCTCGCCGCAGGCCCAGCCCCGTGCAGGGTCGCAGCGGCTCGTGCGCACGGAGGGGATCCAAGCGCTGAGCAGAGCGGGGGCGGGCGCCTGTGGCAGGGTGACTCATCGCGGCAGCAGGAAGTGTGTGCGGTGCTGGGGAGCAGGGCTCCCCGGCGGGTCCTTGTGCCGGCGGTGGCGGCGGCGGGCGGCGAGCGAGCAGCCACTGGGCAATAAAGGGCGAGGGCTGGCGGCTGGGAGCCCCGGTCCCCTGGCCGGTCGAGGCCTGGGGGGCGGCGCCCCTCTGTGTCCACAGGAGGGTGGGGGTCCGCGTGTGATGGGAAAGCATCGTTCTCTGGAGACCAGGGGCCCTGCAGGGGGACACATAGAAACCGCCCTCGGTCAGCGCCATTCTGGCACTTTCCCGGTTCGCTGGGTCTGGGGAGAAACCAGCATGACCGTCAGAAAAGCAGGTGGGGCGCTGCTTTAGAAGGCCCCTTGGTAAGGCGGACTATTCCCACCCTCTGGAAGGGACAGGTCGCCTTCTGGCCCGTCACCTGGGTCACCAGGCCCCGACTGGCAGGCTTCCGGAAGCGGCTTCCCGCCGACCTCCCTCCTAGCCTGTCAGTGGGGAGACTGCGGGTCCGGAAAGCATGCACGGCGAGGGGACACGGGCTGGGGTTTCTCTCCTCATCCCCTGGCCTTCGCCAGTTTGTTACACGAGGCGGGTGCCTGGTGGCAGTGACCGCAGTGGGGGGGGGGCACATGGAGGGGCACAGGCTGTGCCGGGGTTGGCCCTGTGACTCACAGGTGGTAGAAATGAAGGGCAGGAGGGCCCCTCAGGACTGTTAGACCGTCCCAGCCAGCCCGCCCCTCCTCTGCGCATCCCCTGCGCGGGTGAGAAGTGTCTGGTGCCCACCGGCGTGGCCTCCAGCCAGGGGTGTCCCACCCATGGCCCGCGGGGCCGCGTGCGGCTCAGGACGGCTGTGAATGTGGCCCAACACAAAGCCGTACGTTCACTTAAAACATGATGAGACTTTTTTTGTGAGTGATTACGTGTTGCAATGGGTGGCCCAAGGCAACTCTTCTTCTTCCCCGCTAGGGTTTAAAACTAAAGTTCCTTTTGGGGACTTTCTGATGCGGAGCAGGTGACAAGTGGCCACCCTCTGAGAGGCTGAGCCCAAAGCGGGAGTCCCCTCCGAGAGGTCTCACTGGCCTTGGGGGCAGATGTAGATGACATTCTGGGGCATTTTATGATCCTTTCCTTGCTGGAAAGACCACTTAAGCTTCCCAGAGGTTTGAGAAGCGTTGGTGCGCTGCTGGTCTGTAACTCCGACCAGCCCTTTGCCGAGCCCCCCAGGTGGGGGGCAGGCGCTGTGGATGAGTTCACCGTGGGCAGTGCTGACAGGAGTGTCCACGGCTGGGTCAAGGTCAGCCAGCCTCCAGCCGCCTGTCCCCAGCGGCTGCGCACCCCCTGCCTTGCTGGGAAGCAGCCCACCGTGGGGAAACCGAGCCAGAAGCTAGCTCCTCTGGGCCACGGCTCAGTCTTCCTCCTCCGCTCGGGAGAACACGGCTCAGGGCTCCTGCGGACTTAGCTCTCCCATCTCTCCTGCCGCCCTGATTCTCACCTTCCAACGTAAAACATTCCCACCGTCTTCACGCCCCAGGCGAGATGGCTTCCA